GTTATATTAGCAGCTTCCACTGGGGAAAAAGACATCAAGTAAACTAGAACCAAGTTCCCAGGGTTTAGTAGAACAACCCTCTGAAAGCCATCGTGTGACAGAAGATCTGCCGGACAGACTGATGCAAGTGGCCTCATGTGACTGATTCTGGATCTGAAGTAAAGCTCCCCAGAGAAGCCTTGCTGAGGGCAGAGCTCAGCAAGCCCACATCGCCCAGCAGCTGTGAGGAGCCGGAAGGGCCGAGCAATGTGATGCTGGCACCAGAGCAGAATGAGCCAGGGACTGCCGGCCAGGAGAAGAGGGGAGCATATGGACTGCAGGCTGAACCGTTTCATCCCGAGCATTAATAATGGACCAAAATCTGTACTTCTTAATTGTGCTGAATCCTAATGCCCTCATCTAAGGGCCCTGGGATTTTGATGGAGGATCAGCTGGCACGGAAGATAACAACAGCACGACACAAAGCACTAAGCTGAGGCAGCGGACCAATGGCCTGCCATGCCCACACCTCGCTCCCCTTCGGAGCTTTCTCTGGACTCCTTCCTCCTGCAGCACCTCTCAAGGAGAAGTGATTTAAAAACCCCTTCGCTTATCTCATCCATCTTCCCTGAGATGTCCGCTTGCCTAGGTCAAGGCACAAGTAGGGTAGGAACGGACACAAACAATTAGGGGACAAGCATAGAATTGCTGGAGATTTTGGGACATAATTTTGAGCTTATAAAGGCCATGGTCACCTCAAAGTGATCACACATCCATCAGTTCTGTTTTGCTGCTTTTCCAATGAAAATGAACAAGCTTTTCCCAAGGAAGACAGGACGGAATGACACGGTCCTGTCCTTGACATTGCTAATCACAGCAGATGTACCTAACTGGCTGCCCATATGTATTTATTTACTTATGAGAGAGAAAATGCCTGTTACTGAAGAAACCCAAATGCTGATAAGATGATGAGAGGTTTGTATGCTGGCTATGGTCTCACTTTTGCTTATCCTGAGTGAATACAAGTTTCTATAACTAAATATTTCCCTTAGGGTACTGATGTCTGAGGTATGTTTATTGCATTGAGTGAATTTATATATATAATCAGCACAATAAACATTATTAAATTGTCTGAGTAAAATCAAAGCATGAAACACGCAGTCAGTGCTGAATTCTAATGATGCTGAATGCCCATGATTGCATGGGGAAAGGATCTTAACAAGCCTTGATTTGAGCTTTGGCATCCGCCTCACAAATCACACGAAATGTTCTCTCTTTAATAGTGCTGAATATTGATAAATGTCTCCGCACGGCACAACAGGGAAGTTGGTCTCTATTGGCAATCTTTACCAAAGTGTGTTTTTTCCTTCTCTACACTCAAGGGTTTACCCTGAATGATTTAATTATAATTTTCCTTGTGTAAGACAAATTAAAGAGGAGAGTAGGAGTGTCATGCCAAAGCAGATTATTTATCTCCTTAACAGATTGCTATGCACCAAACCCCAGAGCTGCTGCTGCCGCTACTTACAGGAACTGGGCGAAATGTGGGGCAAAAGCATAGATGTAATATACATTTTAAACCCAAATGAATGAAAGCATTAACCCATTATTTATAGCTGGAATCATTTCATTACTGTGAAAGCCACACACACAGAACACACGCAGCCCAAGAGCAGCACCATGATCCCCCCACCACGCAAACAAGCAGAGGCTGCCTTTTGCTTTCGAGCATTCTGCTGCCCTGCAGTACGGCCATGGCCCAGGGTGACTTCTGCCAACCTCCTGACCTCAGCTTCGTGCCATACAGGGGAACTTCTCATCTCTTAGCTCTGGTCCCAGAGCTGCAAGGGACCAAAGCTTCACCCTGCACAACGGTGGCACTGGGCTGGTGTGGCACAGCAATGTGTGGGCATGCCAAGCAGCCAATTACTGCAGTTCCCCTGCTATCTTAAAACTTATTTATGGCAAAAATGTGCTTTTACACCCAACATATTCAGCTGAGTTCCTGCCTGCTGATGACATTCACGCAGGTACTTCTGCTGCCACTGCAGTCAGACAAGTGGCTCCTGCTTCCCAGGGCTCACAATCTGAACCAGTGGGATCAGGAACCCCATAAAACACAGCCGGAACAAACCCAGCAATGACAGCAATGACAGTAACTCCCACATAACCAACTTGCCTCCTTCAGCCTACTCCTTCTTCTCAAAAGCCCAAGAGGGTGGGGGGAAACAGCTTTACAGCACACCCTAAAAGTTAATGCTACCTGTATATGATTATTTATGGCTGCCGGGCAGTCGTTATGATGTGGCTGTGGTTAACTGTTAGGACACTTACAGCTTTTACTGTGTGCTTTTTATTGTTGTTTAAATCCAAATAAACAGCTCTTGGTTCTATCAGATGGGAGCTAACAGCTGACTCCACTGGTGCTGCATAAGCAACAGAGACATCCGCACCACCCCTCTGCCCCTCAATGATGCTGGGGTGAATTAAGTCACAATAAGCCCCCTGATGCAGGGCAGCAGCACGACACACATCTCACAAAACGCTACAGAAGTGAGCAAGTCGTGGGAGCTCAGCAGGTGCCCAACCCTGCTGTACCTGCCTCTCCATCATGGGGTGATGGATGCAGGAAGCTGGCTCATTAGGGAGGAGGTAAGGGAAGTGGCAAACTCAAAACCGACAGCTGCCCCTGACCTGATGGTGGGCTGGGGCCTGCTGTATGTGCAGCTCAGCCATTTTGCTGAACAAGCTGGGCACTGGAATCAGCACACATTTGCTTGCAAGCCTAGCCAAGCCACGCTCCCACCAGATCCACTGTTATTTCCAGCCTTAATCTCTGCAATCAGAAGGCAACCAAAGCTCTGCCTGGGCCTATGCTCCCTTTTGTAACCGAGCTGAAACTTCACCTCCTGAGGGCTTTCAACACTGCAATGCACCTGCGCTTCTCTCCCTGCTCACTTGCCACCTCAAATGCCTTGCCTGTACACAAAATACCCCTTCAGAAAGAAACACATCCAAACCACAAGGTGTTTCCCCTGCGTCATAAGAAAAGCAGGCAGGCACCACGAGGCCTGATGAGACTGCAACACAACCCTTAAGTGCATCAGGAGGCATTCTTCTGCCTGGAGTCTCCTGCTCTACTTATGGATAAAGACTAATTCAATCACTGCAGCAAATGGCGCAAACCCTCAGTGCACCAGAGGCAAGATAAAGCAAAGTCTGTAGCCCTCTTACTCATATTCCTAAATATACCTATTTTTTACTTTGATATTGAAGAGAACTCAACAGAAATGTAAGTAAAGTATAATGACAAGCTTTAACAATGCAGCTATCAATTCAACAACAGAAGATCTTAAGTCTTCTAACCTCACTCAGTCTCAAACAATACTGTGGCATGTTTATGCATTCCTAGCTCATTTAGTTGGAACTTCGCTAATAAAAACACATGTATCTCCCTGTTTGTAGATCCCAATTCCCTCCAGGCCACAATTACACAACAGCACTCAAACATATGGATATTCAGTTCTGCATGATAGTGAGTACTTGAGAAATTTTTTACTTCAGAGTAGACTCATGCATTTCCTCTGCATTTCAAACTACACAGCAATGGTGTTTGTTTCCTCAGCTAGACTGTCATTAGCAGACAACACATGCATCCATCCACTGCAAGAACATACACTTCACTGCATGGGATTTTTCTTTACAAACTAGGACAAACACAGGTTAAAAATCTATTGGAGTCATAAAACAATCCTGTTCAGCTCTGCATGCAGCAGAAAGGGAACTTAATTGTTTAATAAACATCAATTGGTTTTTAGCATCCCATGTCAGTCTTCACCAAAATCACATCTTTGACACTTGCATGCACTATAAATGTATGCACCAACATTCTGCCACACGTCCTTGCAACGGATAGAAAAAGATGCCTTGCACACACAGCACTTCTGAACGCCGTGTGTGTTCTTCTTTAAAACCTATCTATTCCCAACAGCACTATTTTCTTAATATTAGAAAGATATAAGAGGTATTTATACAGCTTCCCTATCAATCCACTTTCAGGCCACCAGAAATATAAACTCTATGGCTTAAAAATTCCATTATCCTCTTTCTAATGAAAGAAAGGAGGATGGAAAGACAAAGCCATCAGTTTCCATAAACCCCAGCTTTCACTAGTGCCTGATGTAACGTTTCTAGATGGGTGAAGGGACTCTGCTGAATGCAAAGAAGCCCAGTGAGGATGCTCACATGATCCCCGAGACCCTTCTCCTCCAACGCAGCGTCGGCGTCGCTGCCGCCTGCAGCCCTGCTGCCCAGGCCCGTCTATCTCACCGCAAGCAAAAGTTATGTTGTTAGACACGCCTCAGTGAAATCTGGGGGTGTAAAGAAACAAACCTGCAATAAAGCATCCTCGGGAATAAAGCGGAGCCCGCGCTGAGAAGCACGTCAACAGACAACCCCTGATTTAAGCCATTTCTTCTAACAATGCAAGACTAGCACGTATAAATTAACTCACACTTCTAAAAGCCAAACACCAGTTAGCTAATTTTATCAGCACTTACAAAATGCACTTTGTTTTAGGAAAACCTAGTGAACTCAAGTCCAAGCTGCTTTGCGAAAGCAAGCAAATACAGAGAAGAAAGGTAAATGTCTTAAATGAGCTGGGCACTGAAATTTGGCAGAGAAGTGGATGACGTGTGGCACAACAGCCTGTAGTGACCAACTGATTTCTTCTCACCTCCTATCTGCAAACCCAAAGCACATCAAGAGTAACACCACCAGTGATGCAAAAAAGCAGCTACTCTTTTCACACTTCCCCCCACTTCTCCAATGCTCTTCTAATTAGCTAATTGTGCCCACATTGATCCAATTAACAAGCCACAAAGACCTGAACAAAAGGAGCATACTCTGCCCAGCGGAGACTCCGTAATCAGACGAGGCGGTTGGCCACTGTTCCCAACAACTCTGCCCTGATCTCGGGCACAACCAGACGCGAGGATGGATGGAACTCTGCTGGCACCTACCTCTCCCGTTTAGGAGTGTGAACCGATAGCTGTCCGTTGGTTGACGCGTGCGGGTTTATTATTAAGGAGGTCTTAGACGGTGCGGATGAGGAGACGCAGGTGGTGGACAGGTCGAGGCTGCTGTGGTTGTTGCTGGCTGCCTCCTCGGCTGTGTGCGAGCTTGTCACTTCCTTCCAGAGCTGCTGCAGTTCTGTTGGAATCATGCCTGAAACAAACAAATTGGATAATTAAATCAATTAACAGCTAATTCGGCCGTCTTCAAACAGTAATTAAATCAAAGAGTCAGTAAACAAAGCCTAGTGTTAGTTTTGTGTGTGTGTGTTTGCACGCATGTAATTTTTTTTATTAACTGAAGGCTAATCCTGAGCACTGCACATCTCCTGCTGTGTTTCGTGGGGTGCTACCTGCAACGCCTTTCCAAGGCAAAATCTGGGGCTGGGGGAAGGAGACCCACACCACACAACACCCCCATCAGCAGCTGGGTGATTGTTATATTCTGTCCTTTTTGGAGCAGAGGGCCCAGTCCCCACTCGGGCAGAAATCCCCAAGATCAAACCAAGGGCGGCCGAGGGCTGCTCCTCATGTCAGCTTGTTTTCTATTGTTTTAAGGAAAGTAAATTCTGTCTAACCTGTTTTTAAAAGGAAGGGAGATGTGAGGGAAAAAAACCCCTCAGCTTTATTATTATGACAACAGGAACCACAATATGACTAATTTTGTGCTTAAGTTTTAAATGATGACAAATAGCTTTGTTATTAAATACAGTTTTTATTAATCACTTTTAGACATAAATTATGAATTCATATTGTCTTCCTGAAATGCTTTTCAAATTTTAACAGTCAAATTGATTATACTATGATTATTTCATTAACACACCTATCTTTCTCATTAATTTTGGTTTCTCGAACTGCTCACTTAATTGATGGATGTGTCTACTGAAAAACTGTATAACTTTCTATACAAGTAACACTATTATTACTGTCATTTCTTAGATCAATGCTAATGAGCCATTCAAAAGTAAAACGAAAACATAAAATAAGCTTCAAGAAATACATAAAAAAATTGTTTTCTATTGTGCCAAAATGGACACCAGGCTTGGGACATGCATGTAGCTTTCAGCAGACACGGTGAGCGAGAACTCTGCCAACTCCAGTGGGCATAAAGTGGAGCCTGGAGCACAGGGACACATACGTCAGCATGGCATGGGCTCCCCCTGAGATCACGGGTTTGGATAAAGCTTACGTTTGTGACACGATCAGACAAGTCAGGTTCTCAAAGCGAAGACTATTTCAGTGCTCTTTCAGAAGGCTTTGGAAAAAAACGAGCAGCAGAGACGCATCACTTAAATATGCAGACCAAAAGAAATGATAAAAGTCTGCATGTTTTTAAAGAGGTCTCTCATCAGCGTGTGCTGAGATGGTTTGGCTGACTGCTCCTTGTTGGGGTAAACTGTGGCACTGGAGCTATCCTGAGGAAATCTGCCATTTTCTGAGTGTATGGCAGCAGCTCCAATAGCCACACATCTCACCAAACCTAAGGAACTGAAATAGGAGGAAAAAAAAAAAAAAAAAAAAAAAGGCAGTATGCATTATATTCATTTGAAACACATAATAAAAAATGCCAAGGTCTAAATTTAATTTATTTTTGTCATTTAGAATACAATGGATAGATAATCATCTCAACGTGATCAGCCAAACATCTTTACTTTGCTAAACTGTTAAAGATTTTAATTATGCTAGCTTTGGAGAGCACTGGTCTAATGAGGCGATAGACTCCAGAGAATCTAAGTGGTTAAGAACTGTGAAATGAGTCTGATAGGATTTTTTTATATTCACCGTGGATCGTTTGCATATCAAAGAGGAGTAAATTATTGCACGACAGACCAATAACCTTCCCCGCCTTTCTGAGAGTAGCATTAACAAAAACAGTTGGTCTCCAGTAACGGTTCACTACAAAAAAATGCTAAAATCCTTAAATATCTGCAATTAATATATATTATAAAAGAGGCTTCAATTTATACATTAAGTGATCAGATATTCTTAGGACACATCCGCTTCTCCAAAGCCACGTCATTTTCCTTTCATAAGAACCAAACGCCAATTACATTTTGATGGATTCTGTCCCAAATGAGCATTTAGTTATTAGACGTATTCAATTATTACTTGTCCCCTGAAATTAAACCTCCGAGCAAATTAAACAAAGAGAAAGGTCAGTACACAAGCCTATGTCCTGTTTTGCTCTATCTGGGCTATTATTTTCAAACACCTTGCGAAGTGACAGTGTGGGATGTATTTTTAGCTAACACGCTTGACAGGACTGTCTGCGCACTAACAATTACCTGCGAGCGCGGCTGACCCTTACACCACTGTTTACTCAACTGAAACAATAGTGAATAGACTTGTCTGTTGATGATAACATATTGATATGAGACCGTATGAGTCGACACCTATTTTTATTTTTGAGAATAAGCAAATAAGGCGGTCATTCTTTGCCTTTTTCCCCACCCCCCACGCACCCCCTCTCTCGGATCTGTGGGTGAGTCTTCTATTAATTGACGGAGTAGCACTTCTCTCTTTTCTCCACCTCTGCTTCTCCTTTCCCCTTTCCCTTCCCTCCCAGTCACTGCTGGATCGACTCAAGCTTCATCTCCAGGACAAGCCTGCAAGTTATACAGCACTCAAAATACAAACATCTAATATTCATAGCTCTCTGTAGAGCCTGGGAAAGTCAAGGGGTTTGTTCTGACTTCCTATGCAAGTGTAACTCCTATTAGCAATGATGAGAACTGCGTATATTGAAGGAGAAATAGAAAACAACCCATTTGGGCAGAAAAAAATGATAGATACAGTAAGATGGATTTCAGCTTGGATGATGTTAGAGAAGAGTTAGGTGTGACGTCAAACTCGCCTCTCACAACGCATCGTTCAGACCTGAATGCACCACTGGTATCACTTGATTAATTAAAAAACAAGAAGTAATTTTTAAAAAGCCTCCTTCCTCTTTCCTCAAACTTCTGAGGAGCATTCCTAACCAGCTTGTTGAACTTGGCAGCTGAAAGGTATGCTCAGTACTCATCCGGCAAAATGGTTAAACGGAATAATAGGACGAATGGTAAAAGCAAGTAGAACATATCCAACAAAACACACACAATACATGACAAAATTTACCATTAAACAGTTTCACTTCAATAGCAAGAACTAAATTCTATGTCAGATTCCCAGAACTGCACTGCAGTTACCCGAGATCACTCCTGCTTGTGCCCCAACTCGGTTCCTACCGGTGCCAGGATGCAGACCTGGAACTGCTGGATCCATGGGAGCAATCAGCCCTGGGATGTCTCAGTCCTATTATTTTCACTTGCTTGTGATCTGAGGTGCGATTTGCAGTTTCATTTTACAGATACTGAAGATTGAGCTCTCGCAGCTCAGAGCACTGTTGAAATGCGGTTTGTTTTTAAATAGCTACTATGCAGAGATGTAAAATCTAGATTATAGGTGTGTCTAAACACAGAACAGCAAAAATCACACAAATATAACATTAAAGAATGTGCTATTTTGTGTAAGACAATAGGCAAGAACACCAACTAAAATGCAGCTATGAACGATGTATTAGTTCTAAAAACAGAACAAAAATCACTTATGAAGTAGCATTCTCTCTTAACATTTATTCCTATTACAGATACTTAGGAATAAAAAGCAAGATGCTCTTAACTAAATTCATAGCTACATTAACTAGAGGGCTGGATTTTCCTTTTTATATGCACGCTTGCAGTATCTGTCTTACTCTTGCCCACTGTTCTGAAAACAGAAAGGGATGGTATATGTTTTTTAAATACGAAGTGTCCATTACCAATTATTTTAAACTATAGCCCTGGCTCCTCGTTGCATTTTTCAGGACAACCAGTCCCCTTCATTATGAAAGAAAATGTAGGCACAGGTTTAAAAAATGTATGTTGTGGGGACAGTTGACAGATTACTGCTCACGGAACTCAATTTCCCAACCCCAGGTATCACCAGCTCAAAGACAAACAGAGTTGCTCAACCTCTTTGTGTCCTTGTACCTCCATACCCAGGTGACCATGTTCAAGCAAGCAGAAAGTTGATTTAAACCTCGTAATGACATCAGTTTTAAGCCATCGTCTCTCTGATAAAAAAGAATCGTGCTGGATTGCAAGCTGCCTGAATCCTCCAGTTCCTCCCCAGCCAGCGCCGCACCCCACAGCTCACCTCCCCGCACAGAGCAGCCCTCCCAGCCCTCCTGTTTGTGTTTGTGTTGTTCTGGCACCCCTTGGCTATTAACAGGCTTCTTCCCAACATGGTGAGGACTAATAGTGGCACTTGGCTGCTAACCGTATCAATCAATGCCACGACTGCTGAATTACCTACTGGTGTCTCCGATGTGTTACTGCACAGATTACACTTCATGCATCACCACATTCATTTCTTTCACATTACACATGAGCGTGTCTTGTCACTGCCCAATTGCCCTCCTTTGGACAGCTTAACTGATGTACCACACAATGAACCCTACTGAGCAAACTTAATAGTATAGGAGCTGTGGGAAAAATTAGAAAGGTTGAAGCTGGAGTCCAGTGGGCGTGTGGGAACAGCTTGTGGTGTTTCCAACAATAAATCCAAAGAGTAATTAATGCGTGTTACAACATTCTGCACACATAAGTGGCACTTGTCTACCTGCCCATTTTCCCAAACTCATCTCAGCACACTGATGGTAACTGACAAACCCCTGTCCCAGGCCAGAAGCTGCTGCTGCCACAACCCGCCTGCCTGCATATCAGGAGTGCACAGCTAGGAGCACACCAGGGGGCTGAGTCTGGGAGTGTGGGTGTCCCATGACAGGGTTAGGGGGCTCTAACATTTTGTGGGTCATGCAAAAAACAAAAAATAAGCCTCAGTAAACCACACTAGCCACCTGGCACAGCAGTCCCTGCTCACCAGCTTTCTCTCCCTCTATCCATGTCAGTTAACATTTACCAGCCATCTTGCTCTCCTTTTCGCAGCTCTAATACACATAAAAAAGGAGGGAGAAGAACAGAAGCAATTTCACCCCCAACCCCATTTAACCAAACAGAGCTGAATGTAAATACATTATATGGTTTAGCAACCAGTAGCAGCCTTAAGGCTGCTTTGAAGAGCCCAAATCATTTCAAGCTGAGCTGACTCCAGTTGTTGAGGTGGGTGTTGAAATTTATTATGGGGCAAAGGGAAAGAAAAGGCACAGCTATTCAGAAATATCTGCATCTTGGCTGAAAGACCTGGTCCTCCCCGAGCCATGCCAACTCTGAGCCACCAGCTTCAGTGACAACAGACAGAGCTCAAGCATGCCTGTTAAAATGCCCCAGAGCTCGCAGAGAAACTCAGTTGGAATATAAATTAATAAATAAATATAGCCATGGAGAAAAAAAAAAAAGAATAAAAAAAATCCAGGTTGTAATTACTGTCAGAAGTATTGTGATTTGAGTAGCTATTGCTTTCAATGTATCAATATCTTAAAAAAAAATAGGGATTTCAGCAAATCGGTGACTTCTTACATAGCACAGGACTGAATAAAGACGTAGGAGGATCTAATTGTCAGTAACACCAGCATAAGAACATTTAAATTAGATGGAGTCAATCCCAATTTGCCTCTGTGTGGAGGGAAGAACGAAGCTATGATCTACACAGGCAGTGAAAGGAAGGACACATAAACATGCACAAAGAGGAGACACTGTCACATTCCCCTTCCAGCTGCACAACAGGGCAATCCCATTTCCACACTCAGCAGCATGTGGTCAGCACTGTTTCGTGCCCAGCTCTGCACCAGCCATGAAGTCAGAAAGAGCCAAGACAGCACTTCACAAAACAGTGAAGGAAAAGCTGCTCTCAAGCTATCCTAAGCCATGAACCCAGCACCAAAATTTTATTAGGAAGCCTCCCGTGGAGGATTTTGAGCCCACAATAGTACAACCAGCAGCTTCACGTTCACCAGGGTATAGCTGTGCAAAATGAATCCAAACTAAACCGCCTGCCTCCTGCTAACAAGCACGGCCCACAGTTTCAGCGCTGCCCTTCTCGAGAATACCTTTACAATGCCCACTCTGCCAGTCAGGATTTTTCTTTGTTTCTTATTTTACGAGCCTATGAGATCACTCTCTGGCTTACTGAGTGACAATTTGGTGTGCACATGCTATCTGCTTGCTCAGCAGCTCCCCAACCCCTCACCTACCTTGTGCAAGGGGCTGCAAAGGCAGAGTAGGCTGGCCAGGCTGGATTGTTAGCAGCCCTTGACGCTGCAAAGTCAGGAGGTGCTGCTGTTGCAACTGCTGCATCTGTAAGAGTTGCTGCTGAAAGGCCAACTGCTGCGTAGCCACCTGCTGCTGCTGGGGCTGGAAAAGAAAAAAAAAATGCACGTTTGTCAACAAAGAGAAAAGCATTAACAGGGATCCTTGGCTAAACACACAGCAACCACTGATCATAGTCACTTGTACTGAGAAACAACAGTGAGCTCACCACCCAGTACCAAGACTTGCTTAAGAGCTGGTGCTACCAACAGGGCGGCAGTCAATTTCTAATCTCTCCTACAAACCCAATCAAAAACACACGCAGTGTTTCTTAGTCCACACGACTGAGCTTCACACCAGGAGCGGCTGCCTTTCGGTGTCAGATAAAGCAAAATTCTGCTGGCTGCTGCTAAAATCACGGGCAATTCTTCAAAGCAAAGAACAAATGCAATGCAAGAGCCACTCCACGTAACCACATCACATTTGGACGTCACCAACAACAGCCCTGTACCCTGCTCTGTTTGCTCATGCAAGGGTCATCTCAGCGATTAAGGCAACACGACTGGCTACATTCATGCTATCCTATACTTACTCTCTCTTATCCATCCATCAAGCAACAATACCATTATGTTCAGAATTACTCCTTGCTGTATTTAAGGCTGCTACTTCTGTGCTTTGAAATTTTTAATTATTTTCGCTATAAAGAAGTCAGAGCTGCTTTACTCCACAGGGACACGAACCTTGAACCTTCGAGGTGTAAAAGAACATGTTGCTTTTCTCACTACTGTACCCAGAGAAGCTTTTAACTACTCTGTTTATCACTTCTGACATAAATAAATGAGAAAAAAATCAGACCTTTGAAGAAGAAAAACTTCATCTAATATTGTTAATTAGCCATGACAAACGATGAAATAACATTGTAAATCTTTCATAGAAACAGCCACTAGATTTTAATTACACACATTCATAATTTAGCAAACAACATCTTACTTGAATGTGAGTGTTTAATATGTACAGTACTCCAGGCTTCTGAGTCCTTAATTTTGTGCAGTTAAGCAAGCCTCTAGGTTTTGCTTCCATGCTCATCTCGTGTTTTATTTGCTTTGTTCTTAAAATCCATGAAAGGCTTTGCGTTTTGATAAATATCTTTTTATTTATTGTACAATGACAGGAGGAAAACTTTTGTTGTGTAAAACATCAATACATCATGCCAGTGTTTAGCAGTTCCTTGTGCTAGCCAAAAAAAAATTAATGTAGATTTCCTTAGTAATTATCTGAGTGATAGAAAGATAATACAGAGCAGTAGTACAATAAATAGAAGGAAATTATCTAATATCCCTAATCTGCTAGGAATCATATCAAGGTGGAGGTCTTATACACATTATGGCTAACAATTACGGAAAGAAAATTAACTCTTGCAAAACTCCACACTTTCTCAAATAAACCCTGGCCACACCGAGAGCGCTTTGCTGCCCTTCCCCGCTATCGCAGCAGAGGATCGCTGGCCCCGTTCCCTGCTGGTGTCAAGCAGGAAACATCCACCCGGGTCAGAGGAGCGGGGCTGACGGCCACCAGCCAGGGGCCGGGGCCCCACCTTCTGCCAAGGCACTGCAGCTCCAGCCTGCCAGGCTGAACGTGACACAGCCACAGCACTGCCAGTTGCTCTTGAAATGAAACATCGCTGGGCAAAGCGAAGGGCAACAGCAACTATTTTTATTAAATTCCTATTGCTTTTTTTGTACTTTCAACACCCCATCGATCTTTGTACTACAACAAACTGCATGCCTACAACTGTACTGACAGGCAAGTTAATTTTTCTTCTATCCAGAGAAAATCTATAACTTTGAGAACAGTTAAACAAACAAGAGTTTAGCTATACTGGAACTCGGAGTTTCCATTTCTCTGCCACAGCTTGCTCAGACAGATCCAGCTGTTGCAACAGCACTGGATGAATGTGAGCTGCAGCAACGGTCGTACTGCAGTTAGAGCAGCGTTTGCCTCCAGAGATGCTCGTACTCCAAATATACACAGAATCATAGAATCTTCAGAGCAAGAAGGCACCTTTAATTAATACACAGTCTGTGTGTGTGTGTGTATATATGAGTGGTATTTGTTTTTTGTGGAACAAAATAAATTACAGTAGTCTGTATTTTACCTATTTGCCATCAGAGTGCAAAACTGGCATCAAAAAAGAAAGACCATAAAAACGACTTTATATAAATGGAGTGATGCCTGTGGTTGTCTTCTCAGCCATCCCAAGAAAAGCTCCTGAACGCGCCCTACTTTGAAAAGCCAGGATATAAAAGTATACAAGGCCCATTGTCCAAGAAAGAATTTAAAAGCAACACGCGTTGCCAAACTGCGCTCCCCACCCAGTTACCAAACACAGGATACAAGTCAGTTTGTTTACTTCTCACAATTGAATGCATACAAAAAAGGTCTCAGTGCAGTCCTGTTGTCAGGTCAGTAGTCAGTGTTAAAATGCTGAAATAGCCTGATAAAACTCACATTTTTGGTCCCCTCCCTGAAGCTGCTGTCAAAGGTCTGTTTTCCTTTCTTCGGTCCCTCCCTACAGCCTAACATAAACTGTCGCAACCGCTGGAGGAACACGGCCGTGCCCAGGAGCCGTCCCGCACGGCCGGGCCTGGAGGCAGCGCTGTGGCCATGAGCCCCCCGTGTTGGGCCCTCTCCAGTGTGGGGCTGTGGGCACAGGGTGTGTATGCCTCCTTTTGGGATGGGGCAGCAGCAGCAGCCGTGCGTGTCGTGATACAGAATGACGTAGATGGGTAGAGCTGCTCCATCTGTCAGCGCACAAAGCCGCACCGTGTCTGCACTGCGGCCACCAGGCCACACGATGCACTTTGGGACCCACCGTCATTCGTGTTAAAAAAGAAAAAAAGAAAAAAAAAAAGATCATCACTCGCACGCTAATTCAGCCAAAATAACTTCCTCCATGCAGGAAAAATGGGGCCAAACAAGCCTGGTCTGGAAACGGGCCCCTGTTGAAACCCTCAGCAAAAAAAAAAAAAAAAAGAGCCTAGAAAAAGCTGGAGAGACTCAGGCTCCTTGTTCTGCTCCCCACTATCATGTTAAATTGCTCTTCTTAGAACAGGAAGGAGTCTTTTCTTATTGTTACTTTCGATACTGTAATATCAGAAGTGCGACCGCAGTAAACCAGTGTGTTAGATATTGAAATGCCATCACATTGTCTAACTTGCCTTCTCGTCTTTTTTAACACAAAGTATTTTTCTTCAAGCTCCAAGCCCTCATCTTTGTGTCTGAGATGCTCTCCTGTCTGACAACAGCAATTTAGAAGAGTTAACTTTTATCGTTCATTCTGCTGTGTAACTTTCCCCTTCAAATTTCTTTATCTGCCCTCTGAGCTCATCTGAACTTTCATGTTCTCCCAGCATGCAGGCTTGCATTCAAAACTATGTCTAATAGACCAAATAAGAGGTTAATAAGAAGTGGCAACAGAAAGAAAAAATACAATCCCTGGTAACTGATAAGAATGACAGTGGCAGCCCTTTATTGTTTGTCTTCAAATATAGAGTTAAAGATCTTTAAAAAACTAAATTTTGACGCCTTTGAAAAGAAAGAAGCACAAAATAACAACAGGGGGTTATTGCCTGCCAGCCACAGGGGAGAAGCTCCATAATTCTTATTCTCCCTTTTGAAGGCTGTTAGAAATCTGATTCAAAAAAGCAACAGCAGAAGGAGAAAGCCTCTTGAGGCTATCGCCATTTCCTGTGATCATGCATAATGCGTTTCAAAAGTGGGTTTTTACCAATTCTGTTGATCAATTGCACCTCCTTCATATTCCCTCTTTTTTCTGCTGTGTTTACATCTGATGTGACTCAATGACAAGCGCTGTCTGAGACTGTGAAACAGACCTGTCATGTTGATTTATGGGCGCATCAAACCACGACTTGTCCAAACTGAAGCTCGCAGTTCATTAATTAGAGAGTTGTGACTTTGAAGTCAGCTTTCAGACTGTGGTTTTTAACATTTGGCTTAATTTATATGCTCTTGAATGTGGATCTCTAAGGAAAAAACTGAAATTCCCTTCTTGTCTTTGAACTTCTTTTGACCGCACAATAATCATTTCTTTGTCCAGAGTGATGCCTGCATCCCAGAGTCATTAACGCGCATTGAACTGCCACTGATGAGTAAGCCCTACTGAATTAGAAAAACAGCCAGCAAAACAAAGCTGAGAGCATTCTGCACAGTGATATCTCACAATTACATGCCTTCCCTCCCTGTGCCATTTCCATTTTAATTACTGTTAGTCCTTTAGATTTACATTTTAGACACTTTTTAATCTGTTCCCTTTTTATTATAGAGGCGCCCGTAAGCGCGCTATGGCTAAGGTTGTGTCAGCGTTTTCATTATAAACCCCCTGTTTTCAGGGGTTTATAACTCAGCTGGAAAAATTCGCTCCGGGTTGAAACTTGGCACAGGTGGCACGACCCACCAAAATTTGGGAGGGCCAGAAACCCGCACGTGCTTCGAGCACCGTGATCAGCAACGTAACCACTGCTGCTATCGGCGGGCATCGCACAGCATCTCGTGCCAGCGGGCAGCTTTCTAGGACCTACACTGGTCAGTGGTGATGTCAGGTGGAAGTCTCAAACTCCTTGGGACTACAGATACCACTGTGGTACCTTCATGTGTTATTACAGCAATTCTGAATTTTAGCACACCAAAATCAACCAAGTGAGACACTCAGAAAGGACCAGTGTGTTTTCCATACATGCAGAAAACCGCCTTCGCCATCCTGTTCCCAGCACAGACCATGGTGGCATCTGTGCAAGGTCTCGAGACATTGTGCATCACAACGAGCTGCAGTTCCCAGGCACAACACACTGCAATGAGATGGCATTCCTGTCCTACCTCGGTATTTCAGCTCTTGTTGCTCACAACAAACACTGCCTGAGCATGGTACCTTCTGCTGAGCCCATGCTGCAAGGAGCCTGCAGCCAGAACCTCTCTGGCTGAAAACTGCAAGTTCAAACTCAAAATCTCATAGAACCGTCTGCCTGGAGAGAACAGGCCCAGAGCTAGGCCTGCTTCTTTGCCCCCTCCCCTCTACAACATAACTAACTTCCAAAAGCACTCTCCCAAGATACAAGTCCAGATGCTTGCTCCAGTACTCATACTGAACATCAAGGCGTGTTCCCCAGCTATAAAATATGTGGCAGCAAGCAAATGGAAAGCACAGGAAAATACAGGCGAAAACAGGACAATAACTCTCAATCTGAAAGCTGAGACCCGATTGAGTCAGTTCAGTTGTGCCATCATTTATAAGATGAATGACAGCTTAATAGCCTCTAGACAGTCCTCTGGGATCTGTGGTTTGAAAGTAAAATGGGTATTGTCTGTACCTCTTTAGGCTGTTTTCCAGCATGTTGTTGCTGTAAAAGTTGAAGCTGCAACTGTTCCTGTTGTTTCTTATAAAACTCTTGAAGCTGCTGCTACAAAGAAAAGGAAAGATGGTAAGTAACAAAGTGGAGAGCCAATTCAGTGTCCCTTTTGGTGTAACACACAAACTGTGATTTGAAAAATAGCATCCTTTTATCTGTAATGGTCTGACCTTTAGTTTGAAACTCGACAATAAATTCAGTGCACACTGACTATTCTTGGCATTATCGTTTGAAAAGTAATCTCCAAAATGAACTGATGAAAAACATACCATTTTCTACACAAACTAATTAAAATAAGGCAAGGAATGACCTTTGATTGTAACAACAAAGCCAAAATGCCCTTGCTGAGAGAGCCTGGCGAATCTCTGTTGTGAAACACACATGCTTTCTAAATGATAGGGTTTGACTATATTAAGTGTTGTTCAATACATGCACAGACATTCTGGGAAACACTCTCCTCCTCCCTGCTTCAGCCACACACCGCACACGCTGCACTGTGGGACGAAGGCAGAGGGGAGGGGACACACAAGTGCAGTCTGGTGGGTGCTCTTACCAGCCTGACTCATGAGCCCGTGCCGACGTGAACCCCGCAGTAACCCAGGGACAGCACACAACTTCCAGCAGAGAAAGGGCCATGCATGAATGCAGGACACTCAGAAACACCAATGCACCGTGCAGCGCATGTTGGCTGAAATCAAACGGACTAAGGCTTGCAAACCTCTTCACTTTCGCTGTCCCTGTTTCAACGGCCCTTTACGGCCCCATGTGGATGAAGCAAGGACTAAAATTGGAAATATTACCCTACTACTTCATTTATTCCAATTAATCAGGGCACGCCGTACTTTCGGAGGGATGCAGGCAAAATCAACAGGGACATCTGCTGAAGTCCTGACACTTAAATATGCAGCTGTATTATTTAGCTGATCTTGGAAACGCTCCTAGCACTGCTCCCTGGATTTGTTTCCAGTAGCTATTTCTAGAACTAAAAACAAAAGAGCAGTCGGTTCATCTCAGAGCGTGGCTGCCCTGCAGTACAGACCCTGAGACGTGGGCAGCCGTCATCGCCAGAAGGCAGCACAAACCAAAGCCCCCCACCCAACAGGGGCTGCACAGACAACAATTACCTGTTGAAGCATGAGTGCCTGCTGCTGCTGGAGCAGGACTTGGAGTTGCTGGGGAGTTAGCACTTGTTGCTGGAGGATCTGCTGCATTTGCTGGGGAGTGATCACTTGAGGTGTCATCATAGCCACCGACACGGGAACCTGCAGGGGACACAGAATGGTGGTCAGGGAGCATCACAGCAGGAGGCACAACCTGCCCTGAGCACAGAGGGACCCGCGCTTCCCCAGCCACCCAGCTCCCTCTCTGCAGAGCATTATGACAATGGGAATTCTTTAGACAGCAAGACAGCAAAACCTGTTAAGATTTATTTATTTTCACAGGGAACTGTCAGCTCAGAGCATTCCCTCCCAGAAAGTCCCTCCCTGCCGTACAGAAATTCAAGAGCCGAGTATCCTGTGCTGATGGGATCTAGGCCCTATTACGACAGGTTTTTAAGAAAATTGAAGGAAGGCTCAGTGATGTGAATAACAGCACTACACTCCTATGCAATTTTAACAGAAAGGCCCTACTGCGATGTCTTTACCATTCCATATTCACCCAGCATACAGATGTCTTCAATTCTTTCATATTATGTGAGATACCATTAAAAGCCGCTTTCCATGACATTTCAGTGACAAACAGCTACAGTGATGAACTTGATAGCATTTCATATTTGCAACTGTTAACACGTTTCTGCACGGGCATCTTTGCAAGGAACCTGTACACTGTATCTGAAAGGATGATGTCTTGTTCAGATAAAACACTGACATTAAAATGACAGGCTGTCTTGGCCAAGGTTACACAAATTGTATTCAAGCGGATACCTAATGACAATGCTATGAATTCTGCAAGCTTTCTAGAATGTAATTTAGCTATTCAAAATAATCACTGCACTTGTGTTTAATTTGCAGACTACATGAGAACCATTTTGTCAGTCCTAGTAATGCAAGAAGACTATTTCCCCAGAAACCCACCCCTCTATCCTCCACCCCAAAAAAGGGAAAGAAAAGGAAGAAAAAAAACAATAGAAGACAAGACAAAACCCTGTGAGTTTTAACAGTAATATTTAAGCACCTTACTTTTCTATAGTTTCAGATCAAATATGTGACAGCACAAAACTAAAAGCAGTAAAGGATATACTTTGTTAAAAAGGATCTCCTGTCATCTCATGGATTACAATAAAAGGTAATAACATGTTTAGCACTTTTTCTGTGCACCACTTTTTAAAAAAATCAGCAGACAATAGCTGATCTGAAGATAAAAGAGCTTAAAAAAAAGTCTTCCTGGGTACTAGTAAGCAAGGGAGAAATGCAGTATTAATTTTATGTAACATAATGTCTTAATATGCAGTTTATCTTGACTTTTTCACATGATTTGTCCTGTCATTTGCATAGCAAGCTCTCATTCCTAATTTCACAGTCATTATGCACTGATGTCCTGATTTCTCAGCATCACTAATTTTGATGAACTAAAAATGGTTCCTGAAGGTCAGACTTATGTACAGCACACATCGCCCTGTGTTGTTGTGTACATGTCATGTGCCGGGGCCAGACCCTGCCTACAGAACGTGCTGCAGACACATCCAGCAAACTGACATCCTATTAACGCGGCGCAGAGTGAATCCCCTGCGCCCCAGCACAGACCTGGTGCTTCCCACACTGCAGCAGGCAGGTGTGAAGGTTGAGAAACAGACAGCGAAGGATGGGAGGTGTCATCATAGACAGAGTCCCTCTAAGACTGCAGCCCTGGGAGAACCACCAACCTGGCAGTGCGGTGCCACCGCCCTGAGCTGTGATGGCACCGACCAACTGGAACAGGGAATCCCATCAATTCACAGGATCTTAATCCCTACGCTGTTCAGAACTTTTCTGGGAGTAGAAAATTATTTCATTAAGTGCTGTAGTCACTATCTTAGCCCCGAAGCCTGACTCACCTTCATTATTCCCATCCCCAGAGAAGTTTACTTTACCCTGGGGTTTGTACTACCTTACATTGAAGTCGGACTGAGCAAACAGAAAAGGAAGCATGTTTAAGTACGCTTTCTGTGCCATTCTTGGAAGATATACAACACAAATACTCCTCGGTCAGATTTATGACGACAAGCAGGGATACAGACAGGAATAGGGTGGGGTGCTGTAAACCCTACGTGCGGGTGATTAATACGCGGGGCCGCATTCTGCCAGCAGCTACGCGGAGACAACTCCCATTCACTTCCACTGCTCCTTTGCACATTTATCTCAGGACACATCTCAGGATTCGGCCCTGCCTTTGAACGGCGGCCACGTACCTTCCGGTGAAGAATCTCCCAGCTGCTCACGCTCTGCTCAAACAGCAGCACTTAACCAGGGAGGGAAGCAACGTGTCTGTGTGTATACAAACACTCACAAACGTGTGAATAAACAAGGCCCACCTAGCAATACAGGTCTGCGTTGCTCTGCTCGACCTTGTTCTACCGGCTGAAACCACATCTGCACACCCCGCCTGTGGCTCCAAGAAGGTCCAGCCTCTCATTTGTCAGAGCAGGGAGCAGCTGCGCTTCCCCTGAACTCCGGCTCATGGTGGAAGCCATCCTACAGAGCAAGGAAATTCAAACAAGCCAGAAACCGCCGTGTTAAAAACGACACGCGCCCCAGACAAGCGTGGGCACACGTACTGTTGGAGGCCTTTAAATAGTTAAGAATTATGGCCTATATATCCACTCTCTTAACTCCCAACGTCCAACTTTTTCATGTAGCTAGTCCCTAGTAATACTGGGAATCAAAGGGCATGCAGCTCCAGCAATAGGCTATTATAGCCCACACTTTATTACCCATTACTACCGAGGTCATTAGCGGTAAGAGTGATTGTACCGGTCTTAACCTATTGATCATTGTAACTACTATCATTTAATCCCGTGTTGAATGTCTGGAAAGCTGCTAAAGGCACACCAGAGAGAGTGCTTTAGCGATGAGAAATATAGCCAAAGCTTGGAAATTACACTTTGATTCATAAAATCCAGCCAGTGGTTTAAATCAATAGTATTTAAAACAGTCATGTAAGTTCTTAACTACAGCTCTCTAATATTTATGGGTCCCTTTTTGAGTGTATTCAGTCAAAACTAAGCTTTATTTTAGATACTGCGCAATATACTTTGCATTACGTTAGATAAAAAATATTTATTTCTGATATTTTGTCTGATAGTAAACGAAACCTAAACTGAAGGCTATAAATTAATTGTAGATTTCTATCTCTCAGATGTCAACTTAAATGTGTTGCCAAAAAAAATTACAAACCAACTTTGAAAATGGCTTAACTGTTTAAGTACATGAAAATGAGTGTGTTTTATGAGTTAACAATGAATCACAGAAGGCAGTTTATGAAGAACTAAAATAATTCTGTCTTACTGCCTTCAGGGAGTTGAAGTTCAAATTAAAGTACTGGCAGATGTATTTAAAGAATGCTAACTTAGCATGCAGGACAGAAATCAATCTTTCCTCCCCCCCCCAGTTGTTTATTTCTGTTTTCTACATGAAACACGATTGTTGTTATTGATATGATTAATGAACCACTTTTGGTATTGTTGACTGATAACAATAGGGTGTGGTAGATACCCAGCTGCATGTAAACCTGGCAGCAAAGGTAAAAATACAGCTGCAAGTCAGTTTTGGGAGCTGTGCTAGTACAGACCTGCTGACATGCTAATAGCAGCAACGGCAAAAAACGTCTTTAATACTCAAAATTGTTTTCAGCCACTCTGTGTCTCCCAGGTCCCTCTGCCACTGCTCCACACCTCTCAAGCCTGCCTGTTCTCTCCTCTCCCCACCCGAGCTCTGCTTGCACGGCTTGGGGAACCTTGCACAACTTGGGCCAAGCTCGCCTTTAACTTCACCACAGACTACAGCTGGGATGCATTTGTCACCGCCGCGCACTGCTCAGACAAGTGTCACGGGGATGGAAATGATTTAGACCTACTCAATCATCTACATTCCCCCATTTTCTCTGATATTAATATAATTAAATACTAGCCAAATAATTTCAAGGAGCTCAATCTTATACGGAGTGCAGAAAAAAAAAAAAGAAGCATGCCATTTTCAAACAACGTGCCTTCATTGCTGGGTGCGCCGGTGGCCTTGTCAGCTGCTAGCAGGCACGCATGGAAGCTGGGGAGCATCTCCTCAATTCATAGAGAACAGCTCTGCCAGAAAATCCCCTTCTCCTGCGCTGTGTGCTCGCACTTGAATTCAGGAAGTCCTCAGAGCAGGCACCTTGCATTTCCAAACAGCAATTCTTCAGTTAAAGACTTTGTGGCAGAAGTGACACGGAGCAGAACGCAGCCCAACACCGAGCGAGTGCCTGAGTCGCAGTTAAAGGTGTCGGACTGCCAGGAAAATAGACACGGCGAGGCAAACCCAAACAATTCCCTCGGCTGCTTTATTAGAAAGCACGTGTGAGACTTCTTGCAATTTAAAAAAAAATTCCTGACTGAAAGAATGTAAAATAGCTGCACTCGTGTCACAGCAGAAGAGAAAGCACAGCCGTGCTGGCAGAGGGAAAAGCTCAGTGCCACAAAGCAGAGCCCAGCAGCGCAGTGCTGAGCACAGGACCCTGAGCCTGAAACCTCTGTGACATGAGACGTCAGCCTGAAAATAACAGCCAAAAAACGCTGCCGATGGAACTGTGCAGGCAGAAGCTGCCATTCTGGTTCATGATGCAAAACGGAATCTGACTTTTAGACTCGGTTATTCTGCTGTGATACTGCACAACACATTAGGACAGGTAACGTTTATTATATTAACGTGAAATCAGCTAAGTGCTTCATCATTAGCATAACTGTTGTCTCCGTAACAATGTGACTCCCTATTAAAAAAAAAAAAAAAAAAAAAAAAAAAAAAAAAAAAAAAGCCACTACAAAATAATAAAATGAAAATTTAATTTTAATTTTGTTTATTATGTTTTATCAGGAGAGAAGATCTGCCTGTGACTCGTGGAAGGCAGCGCGATGGACTGTCCTGGCACTGCCGGCACCTCAGGATCTCTGCTCTCCTCTCAGCTCTCTTCCAGCAAAGGAAAATTGGGGATATTTTCATATTTGTTTACAGAATGAAACATCTGATCTTATCTACCACTTCTCATGCATACCGGGCTTCTCACTAAGTGCCAGGATAATTGTTTCTGCTATAAT